ATTATTATTATTATTAATTATTATTATTATTATTATTATTATTATTATTATTATTATTATTATTATTATTATTATTACATTACTATTATTATTACATTACTATTATTATTACTATTGTTATTATTAGATGATCTAATGAATATGATGCTAATTTACTTTAATTTTTTGTTTGCTTTCATTATTACTAATTAATGTAATTATTAATTACCGTCGTTGTTATTATTATTAGATGATAACATCAGTGTGGTTTTATTTTTTCGCTTATAATATTTTGCAGACACAACCATTCCATATCTTCTAACTTGGTATCGTTCGGTTGGCAAAAACAATTTAAATGAAGCACCAATCATTCTAAGTCATGATAAAATATTGCACCTGAATGAAATTGATTTTACTATGCAAGGCATTTATTGGGTACATTTCGAGAATGCAATCGGTGAAAGTATTCGCAGTAAACCGATTTATCTTCTTGTGCATAACACAAACACCGGTCATGTCCTTTTTTTTCTTTTTTGTTATGTGTGTATTTACCACTTAACTGATATTAGCTTATCAATTTTTTAATCTTATTTGTTTATTAATACTTTAGTATTAATTATTTAGGGAAAAATTCTGATGATAGTATTGTCATCATTATTATTATTTCTCTTTGATTCACTGGTAACTATTATTACGCTCATTATATTACAAATTACTTTATTATTACTATTACTATTATTACCATTATTATCATTATTATTATCACTATTATTTTTATTTTTATTATTATTAATTTAGCATTATCACTATTACTAATATCATTATCTTTGATTCGTTGGTAATAATGCATTCCAGTTTTACTAATTAAAATTCTGTTTAATTTAGTTTTAATTCCTGTTTTCTACTGACTCGTTGTTTCAAGATTCTGTGGTTTTTTTGCCAATTTTTCTTTTTTTTTTAATTTCTTCTATTTCTTCATCTATTTTTTTCTTTTTCTGAGAATTTAGTGGATTTGTGATTTTGCTTTCATCATTTCTTCACTTTGCACTTCATATGGACATGCGCTATTTTCGGAATGTAACATCAGGCTAGAGAGAATAATCTAAACCGGAAATCTTTTATTTTACTTACAAGCATCATCACTGCTATAGTTATTATTAGGCAGAAATTTCTTCAAAAATAGTATTTCCGGATAGTGTTTTCAGTAAAAACAACCCCGAGCTTTTTGCTTTGTTTTGTTTTTTTTCATTTTGTTTGGATTTGCATCATGTGATATAGTTTGATAATGGTGATATTTTCTTTATCACTACCATTATCGTTATTGTTATCGTTATCGTCGTTAATGTTTCGTCCATTTTTGCAACTAACCGCACATCTGAAATACTGCTAGAATATGATGATAAGAAATTTCCTGAAAATGAGGAAATTTTCGAGAATCCGGAAAAATCATCAATTTGGAATTGCATATAGTGAGAGGAGTATGGTAGATTCAGGAGGTGATAATAGTGGTGTTAACTTCGAATGGGCTTTACTTCGTGGTGGCAATATCATTCGACAATATTCGGATGACAATACATTGGTGATCAAAAACGCTGATCCATCAAATGATTATGGAGTGTATCGATGTGAAGTGGAAGATGATGATGGCGAATTAATCGGACAAGCATATGCAGCTGTTACAATTGGATTTACCGATCCTTCCAGTCTGTTGCGAAAATATTTTATTTCTAGGCTAATGCTATAAGATGATTAAGATAGACAGGAAATGCTAATTAGAGTTACTGCTTATATCATCCGGTGAATTGGTACAATATATCAGATATCATTGATCAGGACTCGAAAGTTTCTCATGTTGTCCAGTGTCTCATAATAAGTCGTATAATCTCATCCATTTGTTATGCTCTTTCAAATAAGTCCCATATAATCCAAATACACTGCAAATATTTGTAGCGAATTATCATGACTGCTAGAGTCATTTAATCCATTTTCTGGACAAAAGGCGAATTAGTCAATTAATTAATTAATCATTCAGTCAAAATCATTCTTAAAATTTCACACGATCAAATAGATTTTGTCGCAAAAGAGATGAGAATTCCATTAAATGGAATCTGTCTTGTTGTTTGTTGTAGTTTTGTTACAAATCTATAGGTCAGCTATAGGTCACAACATATAGATTAAAAGTTGTAGCGTAACGATGTTCGATGAAAATCTTAGGATTAATATTCAAAAGTAATGAAGGATATTCTTAGAATTTTCTCATTTTCTTTCCTTTTATAGAATTTTAATTTTCAGTAATTGAAGAAATATCCATCTCTAATTTAGTTTATACCTAATTCCAATTCCAACTTCAGTGCGGTTGATATCTCGCAGAATCTTCTCAAATCTTTTTCCTTTCTTTCCTTTAGAATTTTTATTTTTAATGATATCTGGAAAAATATTCCAATTTCGGTTTCCAATTTCAGTCCAGTTCATACCCCACAGGATCTTTTCATATCCATTTTTCTCTTTTTCCAGAATTTTTATTTTCAATAACTGGGAAAGTATCCAATTCCAATTTCAATCCAATTCATATCAGTTCCTAATTAACAATAATTTTAGATGCGCGAATTGTTAAATTTGATGAAAAATCAGCTGCGACAATTGAATGTCCAGTTTATGCGATACCTGGTGCAACTGTTACATGGGAGAAGGAAGATGGTGAATTACCGGCTAATGCAAAAATGATCGGTGATAAGTTGATGTAAGCTCTCTTTTTTGTTTCCATTTTTTTCTTTACAATAATTTGTATTTAATTATCTTGTAATTCAAAATTAATGACTAAAGTAGCATCAAAATATTGATAACTTATAATTAAATTTAAATAATTATGGATATTTTTATTTTTCTTTAAATTTTTATGATTTTATTTATTTATTTATTTTTTGATCCGTTCTATCCTGTTGTATCTAAATTTAGGATTGATGAATTTGATGATGATACTGTTGGAATGTATGTTTGTAAAGTTGATGTACAAGGCAAACAAATTGAAGGTTATGTGAAAGCAGAAATATACGGTTAGCATGTTATTAACTTTAGATAAATTAATTCGAAAGTATTTAAAAAATTTGTGCAATTGAAATATGGTTGATATAAATTAATTATTCTCAAATCACTTTCTTTTGTGGTTTTTTTAAGTTCCGG